ATTTTGGGACACACAACAAAGATTCTGACTCCGACCGCAGTGATCTTGACGGCTGATACAGGGTAACAAGTTCCTGTAGGTACTGAGGAGCTGTTCCATTCAGTGCCTTGTATGTGTATACCAGAATTTTGTACTGCGACCTGTATCGTACAGGTAACCAGTGCAACGAATAAAGCGCAGGTGTGATGTGCTCTCTCTTTCGAGTACGAGTAACTAGCCGTGCTGCAGTGTTCTGAACCCTCTGCAGACGACTAGTTAGTTTGTCAGATATACCACAGAGCAGGGCGTTACCATAATCCAACCGAGAGGTAACAAGTGAATGCACCAAAATCTTGCATGCATCTGCAGTTAGAAACTGCCGAATACAGCCGATGTTCCTGATCTGGTAGTAACAGGATTTGGCAATAGCGTTCACTTGTTTCTCCATGTTCAGAGAACTGTCAAAGTATACCCCTAGGTTTTTAACAGCTGGAACAGTCTCAATAGTTCTGGCACCAACCTTGAGCTGGAGAGCCATTGTTTGCTGACACTTTGGGGAAAAGACGATTAGTTCCGTCTTTTCCTGATTAAGTTTAAGCATGTTGGCGTTCATCCAGATACTGATATCTGTCAGACAAGCTTCCAGACTTTCTGAGACTGTATTCCAACTGTCCTGTGGTTTTATGACCATGTAAATTTGTGTGTCATCAGCATAGCAATGATAGCGAAGGCTATGGCGACGACAAATCTCTCCAATCGGTTTGGAGTACATACAATATTTTCGTGGTCCTAACACCGACCCTTGAGGAACCCCGAAATCTAGTACTTTGTCATGTGAGGTGGCAGATCCGATGGCAACACACTGTCGTCGTTCACTCAGGTATGACTGTATCCAGCATAGTGCGGTATCAGTCACTCCATAAGAGTATTCCAGACGTTTATAAAGTATGCCATGGTCGATGACGTCAAATGCAGCTGACAAGTCCAGCATGACAAGCACCGCTCTGCACTTGTTATCCAATGCAGAAGCTATATCACTATGTACACGTAGGAGGGCCGTCTCAGTAGAGTGTCCCATGCGGTAGGCCGATTGCATGTTGTCATGGAGACTGTTTGCATGGAGATGAACCTCTAAACGCCGGGACACAACCTTCTCCAAGATCTTAAATAGAAAAGGCAGATTTGAAACTGGGCGGTAGTTTTTCAACTCCTCCTTGTCCATTCCAGGCTTATCAATCAGAGTGAGAGAAAACACAATAACCTAAGGTTGGAATCTAGACCGTTCTAACCAACTTGATTGCAGATACTTTCCTAGATTACACAGCTCTTTTCTGTTACGTATAGATAGCAGCTGGACAAGTTTGTATGAAGATGGGCGGCTCCAGTAATACTTTTTAATGAACTTTTTACCAATATCAACAAGGAGTGGACAAATCAGAACAAAATGGAACTCGTCCTCTACCTGGTTTTGATTACAATAACGACATAACCTATTCGCCCTCGGAATATTATGATACCGACCTTCTTCTACATATAACTGAAGCGATGAAAATCGTAATTTCGAAATAAGTTTAAGATACGCATCTGGAATAGACTTTGTTAGATAAAATTGTAACGTAAAGCTGTCTATCAGGAATTTATACAAATAACCTTTGGACGATCTTTCAGCAAATTCATTCCTTGTTTGAATAAAAACATCTGTCAAACGCTGCTTGAAACAATATAAAAATACCCTTTCATTATCAACATAATAAGTTTACCAGACATTGCAAAAACAATAAGACAATAATAATTTTCTAACTTGAAAACGGCAATTACAGTTTCTGTGATTACATTCATCCATATCTTCATAAACTGACTTAAGAACACAATTGTCGCATTTAATAAGTTTCAACCCAAATTTGGTAAGACATTTCCTGATGATATGCAAAGGCAGACGTCCTAATTCCGAATATACCATATACTTTATTTTTACATTCAGAATTCTTTTTAAAAAATGAACATGTACTTTTTCTACTTTGTCCGCAACAATGAAACCCCATGTTTCGCAACCGTAATTACACCAACGAAAGAATTGAGGAAACATAGACATCAAAAACATTAAGTTTAGATTCTACATTGAGGGACAAATTGTTACAAATTCTTAACGCATTACATACATTTACGACTTTGTTCAGCAATAGTAACTTGAGTTTTTGTAAACTTACCATTCAAGCTGAGCAGTACAACAAGGTAATTAAATCTATCAACAATTTCTATTTCATTGCCATTAAAGTAAAAAAAAAACGCCAGCCCGTAATCTTCCGCCATTACGAAATACAACATTTTTTGTTTTCTCCATATTGACTGTCAATTGCCGTTTGTCGCTATATTGTTTAAAGGAGTCTAACATTTTCTGCAAGCCAGAGACAGATTCTGAGAAAAGCACAGTATCACCTGCATATATAAGAAGAAACAGAGAAATATCTCGTAAGAATAAAGCGTCACAGGAAGTATTAAAAAGTTCATTTTCAAAATCATTCACATACATGGAGTAAAGGAAGGGAGATAACCCCTCCCCTTGCATCAAGCCTAGTGAGCACGAAAAAAAATCAGACAATTCAGACTTTTCTTAATTATACAATGTAAAGCAAAAATAGCATCTTTAGTTCCAAACCCAGGTTTAAATCCGAATTGGGCATCAGAGACGATGTTGTACTCCTTAGACCAATGTAGCAGTCTATATTGTTTAAAGCACTAATAAATAAATTAGATAAACAACTTACCAATGTGATTCCTCTATAATTGTTTGTATCATTGGCATCACCTTTTTTGAACAAAGGGAAAATGATACCCTTGGACCTCATTGAAGGAAAGACGCCCATATCAAAAACAACATTAAATAGGTTTGAGAGAATAGGAGCAAATGTCTCCATATGTTTAACAAAAGATTCATGAAGAGTATTATCAATTCCAGAGCTTACCTAATTTAGCACTTTTTAAAATTTAATATAATATTGTACATAGTCATGCTTGCATGTATAACACAGGTGAGGTTTGACCCTTAATCCCTATAATCCTTCTGTTGCAATGTACCAAATATTCGTCTTACGACAGTAAACTCAACTTTGACAGAACACAGTTCACATTTAAATCAGTCACCATAAGATTGTAGATATTCCTCTCATAACGTTTACATGTGTCAAGAAACTATACTTTCACTTTCAAAAAGCACCTTTTCAAGCTTCTGATTGCATTGAACATTAATCACCATGGTATTGGAAAGTGTGATTATGTGTGACGTCATCAACCATGTATGATCACCGGCGAATACTCCCCCCCCCCCCCCCCTTTTTCTTTTATCTCAGTTCAACTAAGGAGGACCACATGAATGTTTAAAATAGTAAGTTGTTAGTGAGGAAACTCACAGTGGTCATTGCAGAAAATTGCATAGTGTTTGCCATGCCACTGTTACACAAGTCGTTTCTCACAAACGAATGGTAATTTGTCTTTTCCGCTAACGTTGTCCCAGCCAAAACGTGATGGCTTTGACATCACCAGGTAATTCAACTCTTGTCCATCCCGCCCCTTTGGGTCGTGCTTGGAACTCCAGTGGAAATAGGACATGTTTTCCCCGTCTTTAAAACGCCATGTTCCTTCCTCGGTCACGTCATTTCCTTGAATGTAAGTCTGGTCGTCTCGGAAGATACCTACAAATATCATAAGCAACTGTTGCAGCCTTTACATACACGTATCATTAATAATTCAATGTCTACTTAAGTTCGACTCAATGGAACTACCAAATCTGGTGTTTCATTTGCCCATGAAATTGATCAGATTAACATTGTTTTTGGTTTTTGGGGAACAAAATGATCAGCTTGCCGGATGCTATAGGAAGTTATTGGGTAATCATAAGAACTCAATACAACAATAGGAACTAACACAATAGTTAGATTTCAATGGTTTTTATCCATTTTTTCGTGGTGTGTTGAGCCACCTTAAGTAGGACATTTATAAAAAAAAGAGTATTTTATTACTATACAGTGTTGGAATACAAGCCTCCAATTATGAACTATACTTTTTACATTACGCAAACACGTATCATTGCACAGAATTCCAAAAGTAACAATTATTGAAAACACGTGTTTCTTAAAATTTCAGGAATTAATCTTGCTTTTTGTTGAACTCGTGAGGTGATGAACTGAGTTCGTCTGGAGACAAATCCAACATGAACGGAAAGTATTAATTTTGTTTCAAGACAAGGACGATGCATCACCTCATGAAATCGACCAAACGAAAATTCAATCCTGATAGAGAAACTGTAATTAAATTCTTCATCAATGAACTGAAGCAATGTCTGTGAAGTAACAATAATATAAATGAACGGAATATCATAAAGTAATAATAATTTCCTTTTAATATGAGAACCATGAATGAAAACTAAATGCTTATTCGAGCAAAAAAGAAAAAGACTTTGCGACGAGTTTCATCGATCTAATGTAAAGCATGAACATACTTAAAACCCATACGTATTGGTACTACTTCACTAACTAATGTACTCGTTTAACCTTTTTTTCGTCATAATACTTGACCATAGTTCTTTTCCAAACAGTTAACGTTTATCACTCGTGTGACCAACGAGCTCTTTTCCTGAAAGAGATATTTAGCTCTTGTTTGGAGTCGTGCCTTATCAACAACACTGTAGTCTAAGAAAGCTTCATCACATACAATCTAGTGCTACATGCTATAGGTAATAAGATGGTTTACCCAGGTACTCGGCGAGATGTTGCTGTTTCTCGGCAGAGTCTACTCTCACCAAATCGCCCTCCTCTCCCTGGCACACAAGGGCGGCGTCGGACACCGTTTTTACGTCAGCCCCGGCATAACGCTTGTAACACAAAGCTAGGTGACGCTGATGGATGTATCCATGCGAGGGGTCACATGCTTCTGTAAAGAAAAATAGAATTACTAAATCAAATCCCAACCTCCGAGCAATCGTTCACACTGAAATTCATTTTCGAGCATTCCTTCTTACAATGCAGGACTAAACAAGAAAACCTCACCTGCGTGTACCTGGTAGTAGTGCCAAGCCTTGTCTGGGGTCCAGAAAGCCGGGGCCGGGAACAACACCGAGTGAAGCTTGCACGTTCTCCTCTCGGTATTAAAGAAGAACGAGACACAGTCAATGGTACAGAGACAGTGATAGGAACACATTCCAAGGGAGACAACTTTCATCGAGACCAGTTGCTTATCACCGACGACAAAGTTCCTGTATTTCTGCTGTTCGATGGCTATCACTGCATTATCAGAACCATATATTTCTATAACCACCAAGTGCAGTAATATCAAGAACGTTGAAATGAACACAGAAGTTGTCATAGTGGTGAGGTATGCTACAGATGCGTCTGTTTCATTATTTCTACGGCACCACACTTTTCTACAGTTATACGACCGTTCAAACAATTCATGAATTTTACTTCACGGAAAATCTCATTTTCTCCACTGTGAAGTCCGATTCTCATTGTATGTTGCAAATGTGGTAATGACGCGGAATGGTAATTGGCCGAGCACGTCCCGGCCTGGTAACAAATCCTCCAGTTATTACATGTACAATCTGCAGTCATGCACGGTCCAACCAGCGCTTGGAATATTTGCAAAGCGTCGATGTGAATAAGATCATTGTTGTTAAGGACATAAACGGATGACGGTAATGATGATGTAAATCGGGAAGTGTTTATTTTGACTAGGAGAGTGCAGAGAATTATTCATTTCGATATTGCTCTTCCACTTAAGACCAAACTAAAATCGTGAAGTCAGATATGTATATATGCACTAGACGGAATATCAAACAACTTCTGTATACATTTATGATAAGCACTGTAATCCAATGTTTGTTACGTTCACTTAGTTTTATTACTTTTCTTTTTTCATTTTTCTTTCCTTTTATCGAGTGAAAAGAAGTCATATACGAAACGAACTGTTCATAAAACACTTCACACTAATTAAATAAATGTCTTACAAAATTGGAACTTTCAGAGTTTTGATGCTTTATTCGCATAGTTGAAATGTTCACGTTGTCAATACTGCTTAAAGCCATCCTTCCTATGGGTTCAATACATTGGCACAAACATATATTTTGCAATGATTTATAATTAAAAATATAATTCTATTTACGTTTGTTTAATAAATGACACAAGATAAACAACGAGAAAAGTAAAAGAAACTTCTCCGCCGCAAATTAGCTGATACGTCCACACTGCCGATTAAAGAAAACATTCACACCATGACAATAAGCGGGTACATACACAACGCGGAAATAAGCGAACAGCCCACAACCCGACAACCCTTGTGATGACACAGTATAATACCACCCTTGTGACGACACAGTACAGAACCACCCTTGTGACGACACAGTATAGTACCACCCTTGTGACGACACAGTATCGTACCACCCTTGTGACGACACAGTATCGTACATCCCTTGTGACGACACAGTAACGTACGACCCTTGTGACGACACAGTGTAACCCACCCTTGTGAAGACACAGTATAATACCACCCTTGTGACGACACAGTATAGTACCACCCTTGTGACGACACAGTATCGTACATCCCTTGTGACGACACAGTAACGTACCACCCTTGTGACGACACAGTGTAATCCACCCTTGTGACGACACAGTATAATACTACCCTTGTGACGACACAGTATAATACCACCCTTGTGACGACACAGTAACGTACCACCCTTGTGAAGACACAGTATAAAACCACCCTTGTGACGACACAGTATAATACCACCCTTGTGACGACACATTGTAATCCCACCCTTGTGACGACACAGTGTAATCCCACCCTTGTGACGACACAGTGTAATTCCACCCTTGTGACGACACAGTTTAATCCCACCCTTGTGACGACACAGTATAATCCCAACCTTGTGACGACACAGTGTAATCCCACCCTTGTGACGACACAGTATAATTCCACCCTTGTGAAGACACAGTATAATACCATCCTTTTGAGTTTAAAAGAACAAAACTGGAATATACGGAAATGTAAATATTACCATAATGTGAACTCATAATCTTTTAAACTTTAAGACAAGATATGGACTAAGGATCATTTCCAGTGACATTTCCCCCATAGTCAACCTGCATCTTACTCAATCCTATAGTTTATATTTGACTTTCAGCATTCAATATCCATCACTGAGGATCACATCCGTGAATATAGAATCAACTGTGAAACCTAAACACCTCAAAAAGGGAGGAAGGATTGCTGGTGTATGGATGATACAGTCAAGAAAGGGGAATTCGAATCGCCAGGTTTATTATACTGCTTAGTAGTAAGCCAACCCCGTTGGTCATGTTGTACGCAAAGATCGATTTCATTTCAGTAATAATTACCATAACTTTAGTATGCATATACAATACCTACACCCATCTTTGTAGCCCAAAAACAAAAGATTCAAATATCCCTACCTCCCTACCGTGACGTAACCTCTATCTCGATGACAGAGCCACGGAGTGATCTCCCTTCCTCTTCCTTTTATGGCGCCTGCTGCATGCTGACGCACGGAGCTTGCTCCAATTCAAAACTTTGTTTTGTCGGTTTGGTTTGAGTGTCAACTCATATTTTTGCGCAGTTTGTGTGCCTTTTACCCATCTGCCCTTATTGATATAACTAATTGTTGTTGAAAATTATTTTTGTGCCTTTTACGGCCGGTTATTTTACTCCACGTGTGCCGGTGGTGTGCCACGGTCCGCCATTATCGTGGGTTAATTTCCGACCTCTGTTTATTTCGGTGACGGTTGTTTGTTTCGGCAAACGTTATTTATTTTAACCGTTTTCTGATTTATATTACGGGTGAAATTCTTTCTACGTTGCGTACTTTGTACTATCGTATTTTATCCTTATTTTCCCGTTTTATCTGCTTGTAAATTTTTTGTTTACGTTCGCTTTGGAGGGTATGTCTCGGTCGGGACAGCGACGAGGTAGTGCTCATGGGTGTTCCCATTTCTTTGTGGAACGGGACCCTCATGATGCCTGTCCCAGGTGTCGTCCTTGCAGTGAGGTTTCGCCTTGTGAACTTTGTTCACAGTCAAAATCTCAGGGCAAGGACTTCATTGTTCCAAAGCTACCCTCAACTTACCGTAAGACAGATTCGTCTGTTTCTTCCGGTAAGCGAGGGAAGCAGAGAGGTAGGGGTCGTGCCACCAGCTCTCTGGGGTCTGGTGGTACTGTCTCTGTTCCTGTCTCGGGGGGTCTTGCTTCGGCAAGTCCCTCTCGTGAGCAGGGGGTGGCCCTTCCTGTCCAGGAACTCCCTGGAGTAGGGGAGGGGCAGCCTGACCCTGGCTTGGCACAGCCAAGGGTCGAATTGGCCGGGAACGCCCGTAAGCTTTCGCGCTTGCCTTCGGGTAGGGACTACCGGCCGCCGGTCACTGACTCTGTCAGTGATCCCGGCATTCCAGGTGGTGCGGTCGTTGGGGACAGTCTTGGTGCCGGGCCTGTTCTTTCGGGTTCAGGTCCTGGTGTGACAACAGACTTTCTTTCGGGATTGTCTGTGTCTACCGGGATTAGTGACGCGCAGCTCACTAATCCCGGCATCAATGCTGGTCAGGCATACCCTCCCGGTCAGTTACCCGGACCCGGTCCTATTAGGTCCGGTCCCGAGTTTCATTCTTCTGGGAACCTGGGGGGTTTCCCCCCAGGGGTTGGGTTTGCTGGACAGGGGGCCGGTTTCCGGCCTCCGTTTTCCCCTGGCTTAGGGTATACGGGTGCCTGCGGGCAACCATCCTTGGGCCGCCCTTACCAGCCTGCGGATGGTTTTGGGTTGCGACAGCATCCCGGCAGTTACGGGCTTAGCCCGTACATGTCCGGGTTTCCACCTGGAGGGAGTGGCGGTCCACCTTCGCCCTTTGGGCAAGTTGGCCAGCCCCAGTCTCAGGCAGGCCAGTTTGGCCAGTTCTGGGGTCACTCCCAGCCCGCGGGACCTTTCCCCTATCCTCCGGGATATGGGTTTAACCCCATGGCATTTCCGTCATGGAATCCTTGGGGTTTGGTCTCTCCCTCGCGGAGACGTGTTAGCAGTTCTGTTGACCCCCCCCAACTTTCTGCTACTTCGGGGGCCTTATCGGCCGGTCCTAAGAAGGTGTGTCGGACCTTTAGGACTTCTGCCTCTCGGGCAGGCTCGTTGGTCTCTGGGTCCAAGGGTAGGGTTTTGGCTACTAAGCCTAAACCTACAGCCACGGCCGTTAGGCGCACTGCACCTAAACGCCGGTACGGGGAGCCTTCTCTCGGGTTGGCCCCTCTGGCTGGCCCATTTCCTCCGCCCCAGGCTTCTGGTCTGGATGGTGTGGAGGCTATGGACGTTGAGGGCGCGGGTATGGCAGAGGACAATGATGTTGTTCATCTTTCACCTGGTTGTTCGGATATAGACGCTGGTCTTTCCGAGTCGTCTGACGACAGTCCTCAGGAGGGCTTGCCCTCAGAGGAGGACTTCCAGGATGAGGGAGACCCTGAGGCTGCTGAGGTTGAGGCCCAGCATGTGTTATCCGGTATGCGGGGCCTTAGGGCTGACGTTTCCCGGATTCTTGGGGAGGAGGTTTGCCCACCACCTTCGGCATCATCTGTCCCCGAGTCCACCACCCTTTTGGGTTCTTTGGTGGCTCCTCGGGTGTCCGCTCGGTCGGACCGCTCTCTGCCAGAAGGCACCATTGTGTCTTCAGCTCTGGCCACCGCCCAGTCTCGGGTTTTAGGGAAGAATTCTTCTTCAACCCGTAGTCCTGGGTATGCTGGGTTGCAGCTCAGTGTTGGCGATTTGTCAGAGGTGCACGCCACTGACTATGCCACACATGATGGTCTGCTTGCCCCTCAACCAGCTAAGCTGGAATCGAGGGAACTTGCAGCTTGGCCCGGTAAATCGGTGGACCAGGTGGTGTTCGGTCCCAAAGAACACCACAAGATGGAGAGACTGCTGCGTCTCTCCATCCAGATTCTGTCGTATATAGACTACTTGACGGTTTGTCTATATAGGGTATCCGACTTGCCTGAGGGTCGGATTACCGAGACAGAGCAGGCCGACATCCAGGACAGAGTGACCTCTGCCCTGAACGGGGCATTGAGAGCGCTGGCAGCTTTACAGGTGTCATCCCTCGTCAATGTCTTGTTGGCTAGGCGGTTTTCAGTTTTGAAAAATCGCCCGGTCGATGAGCCTTACCGTTCCAGACTGTTGACTGCCCCCTTCTCAGGGTCCACTCTTTTTGGAGGGGCCCTTCCTTCTGTTCAGAAGGATTTGAAGGAGGACTCGGTCGCCTCTGCACTTCTGGTGAAGAGGATTCAGGCTGAGAAGGCCAGTACCTCGCAGGGGTCAGCGCCTCCTAAGAAGAAGGCTAAACCTTCGGCTTCGCAGTCCTCTGCGCAGCCCAAGTATAAGCCTCCCTTCAAGGGCAACAAATGGAAGGGTAAGAAGGGTAAGAACCCTCCTGGGGGTAAGAAGAAGGGTTCCTGACTCTTTTCTTCCCTCCTTGGTCGTGTCAGACGACGAGTTTGGCCGGGAGGAATGCAGTCCTCTCGGCTCAAGCTTAGGTCCTTCTCCCGCAGGATTAGGCTTCGGGTCAGCAGACGATTCTCTTGCCTGGCAAGGTCTCGATCTGCCTCGACCAGATCTTCCTGTGGGGGGTCGTCTTTCTGCTTTCCTTCCAGAGTGGAAGGAAATTACGGAAGACGCATGGACCTTGTCTGTGATCAAGGAGGGGTTAGGCATTCCGCTAGTGCGGGATCCGCCCTTAGCGTCAGAGCCAATCTTTTTTCCTCCACCGGGGGATCCGGAAAAGGCTCTGGCGCTCCAGGAGGAAGTAAGGACCATGCTTTCCAAGGGCGCGGTCGAGGAGGTTCCTATGTCGGGATGCACTCCCGGGTTCTACTCCAGAATGTTTCTGGTTCGGAAGAAGTCCGGGGCGTGGCGTCCCAT